CATGCGCAGAAGCTTCTTGGTGATCCTGGGCAGAAGCAGCTGATGGACGACATGCTTGGCTTAGTGGAATGGGCTCCAAAGAAGTTCCAGCTTTTGAGCGCGCTCCGAAAAACGCCAGCGGATTATGTGTCCCAGCTGACCGAGGACGATCGTGANNGAAGCTGGATCCCTCCCTGATGTCCACCATTGTGATCCAGACGGCAGGAAATCTGATGAAGGACATGGACCAGGACAGCGTGCTTGTTCCTATAAGTAGTACGCAATGTGATACAGTGTTGAGATCGGATCCTTGTGAGGACCCTGAGCGTGCCAAAACGATCATGAACTTGATTGCGTTTGAGCCAGCCTCGAACTCCACCGGCTTCTGCTTGGCACTGTACAAATCCATGGTAGATGACAAGCGTGCAGGCCTGTTGCAGACTCAAGTCATGACGATGACGCTGGACAAGATCTGGCGCATGAAAGCGGACGACAAGATTCGCAACGTGATTGGCGCGTTGCTTGGGCAGTGGGAGTGGTGCGTCATGTCGAATACATTGACCGTTATTGACTTTGTGACAGTACAGATTGTACAAAAGATATGATTGTGAATTTTGAATCATGCTTACTTAATGACAGGACTAAGTAGCTGTGGTAATCTGGAGTACTGTCATGTCTATTGAGTCTATTTCTGGCTCTTTCTGGAATTATTTGCTTCAGATCGAATCATTCAAGAAAAAATCAAAGAGGCTGCAAGTGACGCCGATGGACTTGTTGACCTTGTCCCCTGAGTGGCGACCTTCGGATATGCCTGTGGCCGGGTGCCGCTGGTCCACACGTGCTACCTTCGAAGTCCAGGTGGCACGTAGCCTCTGGACCAACTACGGTCAGGCGATTTGATGCGAGTAGAATGAGATCATCCGGAGATCTAAAGTTTGAGTTTATGTAATTTTCAAATTATACATTATAAATTATAAGTGGGTTTGGCATGATACATAAAGCGTCTAGAGCATGATGTGGAGTTCTAACCAGCTCGGATCAGGCTGGTGGAACCGCTCTGGAGAACATGATCGCCCGTGCCATCGTGGAGAGGAAGAGCTTGCTCACGGATGCAACAAAGACACTCCTACGAGTCGGGGCTGGCAAGCATCTCGGTTGATCTGCCAAGATATCCCGGCTCAATCTTGTATTCGATTAACTGAACAGAACTTAATATATTTTTCGATGTTCTAGTGTTCTAGTGTTAGTTCAACTTTTTGATTGCATGAGGCAATAGTTATCAGTATCATTTAAGGTTAAAGTTCATCTATTACTGGCTGGCTCTGAGGCAGCGCATGGCGAAACTCGAGTTTGCCGCATCCCAGTGCACCACGGCAGCCTCTGTGGGCGAGGAGTGCAAAAGAGTCGTCCAGCGGTATCCTTATACCATTGTGGAGGAGATGAAGGAGAAGGCGGACGACTTCTTCTACATGAATCGCATCAGTACGACCACTTGTGCAGATGCCGTGCTGGCTGCCAAAGTCTGCCATTTGCAACTTGGGCCTGTGTCCAACAGCCTCGAGACCAGCGGCGCGGATGCCAAGCAGCTGACCGACTACATGGTCGAGATGGCTGAGATTGTGAAGGCAAGGACGCCAGGCGTGATGAGGGAAATTCTTGCAGTGATGAAGGATGATGTGGACCTCACGCATGAATCAGCTGACAAGAAGAAGGCATTGCTCGAGCACTTGTCTGAGCCATCCCATTTCAAGAACTTCTGCAAGCTTGCAAAAATGTTCGAGGTGAGGTTTCCCAACAACTTGAATTAATAGAATAGAATATAATTTCATCAGCCTTAGTACCTGCCGTTTCTGTCGAGTATGTTGTTTCGGCACAGGTGGATGGCTGGTCAGGGATGACCGACACCGGTGTTGACACCGTGGCCTTTGCTATTGCAGACGGGGCTACTGTCCGGATCAGGACCATCCGTGCGGAGGCAGACTTGACACCGCAAACGTTCTCCACGGCGGCGCAAGTCATCCACAAGCTACAGACATTAAGCAAGGCCGCGAAGGCAGCAAAGGAGTATGTGGAGGAATGCAGCTTCAGCTCTTTGGTATGAGTTATCATTTTGATTTATCATAAATATCATAATTCAGATTCAGGTTTGGGCTCTTGTTGATTTGTAGATAGGGCCATTGTCGCTGGCCAGTGTCGTTTCACTTCGCGTGAATCCAGGTGGGCTGGTGCTGCCAGACAAGATGAAGGATGTTACAGTGGCGACGTTGAACATCGCTTCCAAGCTTCAGGACCGTCCATTGCTTTGGTGTAAGTCGCTGATGCAGAAGGGCCAGACTTCGGGGCTGCTGGCTCTTGACGCCAGTGTTCGTGCAAACGTTGGTGCTCCGGCAGAACGGCTTCTGCGCCTAGCGCAGGTTGTGGAGGATGCCACGAAGCCGACGGACCAGCAGCCGGATCTCTTCGCGCTCGACAAGTACCATGACAAGGCGCTGCTGAGCAGCTGCGTCGTGAATTTCATTGAGGTTCACGCGGCCATCTCCGAGGGCGGCGAATCCTTTGATCTACAGAAGCTGCGGCAGGTGACGGCAAGCCTGGTCGCGAAGCTGGGCACAACCATGATGGACACTGCCCAGGCGATCAGCGAGCTAAAGACTAAGACCTTGGCTGCTGCAATCCCTAGGTTGGAGCCTTTGCAGCAAGCGCTGAAGGATGAAGACAAGAAAGTCGCGCAGACCCTGTGCCAGAAGCTGAACGAGGAGACCCTGACGTTGGAGTGCTCTAAAGGCGTGTGGGTGAAAATATGCGAGTAAGGTTCGATTCGGTTCGGTTCTTATTCGTATGACTACTGATATCATACAAAATGACAGTATGAATGAGCCGGACTTCTTAGTTCCGAGTCCTGCGGTTTAGGCGGCTTAGGAAGAGGTACAGGCAGAGGCATAGGATTCAGGTCAAGGCAGCCTAGGCTACTATTTAATTTTTTAGATTTAAGATTTGGATTTGGATTCAGATAATGATAAAACTAATTGGTTTTGCAATCTTGAGCTTGCCCTACAGCACTTTCCAAGCTGCGCGACTTGGAAGCTATGGGCTGGTGCGTGTTGAACTGGAAGACCGACCTGATCAAGAACCCCAGCCTCTCCGTGCCCCTGACCACCCTTGAAGCCTGCATGAAGGAGCTACC